CAGGTATGGGCAACGCAAACGCAAATGGCAAACACCCAATTGGCAAGATGAACACTAACGGGTTATGGCATGCACATAGTTTACACAAGTAAAAACACAAAATTGGCAATTTTTTGGACAATTGTAACTCAATAATAGAAATATGTTGTATTTCTATATATATACACACTATATAGTCTTATCAAATGCAAACACATTCAGTCAATCAATTGTGGACTTGTGGGTCAGTTGTCTACACAGTGATCAGGAGGACCCGGGTTCAATTCCCATGCCTGCTAGTCTTTTTTCGCAAACACTAGTTTGCAATAAAGCTAAATATGAAAACAAATCATTCATTTGCATGACTACCCATTTAGTTCAGTGGATATGTATAATGTAGGCAATGTGAGAGATCGCTGGTTCGAATCCAGTACAGTTAGTACGATTTTTGAATGCTAGTGAAAACATTGATCCTATAAGTAAGACTTAAATCCTATCATTTGTGTGAAGACACTCGTGGTACAGTGGACAAGACAGTGCGCTGGGAACTCAAAGATTGCAAGTTCGAATCACGGACAGGACACTCCTACAAGACAAGATATGAAAGAAAAAAAAAACATAAACAGCAACTTCTGTATATCAAGAACTCAAGTCAGAAAAACAGAACACAAGAAACTACCTCACATGGAAGCCAGTCGAAGTCGTCGAAGTACGAACACAGTTGACAGCTGCAGGTCACGTGCAACAACAGACACGAGGATCAATGCTGCTCTCCAAATGGGTCCCTTCCTTTCTATGGACCCGCTAAGGATTGCTAATCCCCCTTTCTAACTCTTCCCCCAAAAATAATATATCGCCCCTTTTAGAATGTATTGATCCACAAATTAATGAATATTCATGAGCACAGAAACTGCTACGTCATGAATAAATTAGCATAATTTTAAAAAAAAATTGCATAAAGTGTAGGTACTCTTTCTGGAGTTCTGCCTTCAAAATATATTTTGTTCTTTTCCTTTCAGTAAATGACGCAAGAGGTTAGAAAGTGGATTTTATCCTCTAAAAGTTGTATTTTTTGCAGAGTCTATCTTCAATTGGAGTTTTTGATTTTCTGCATCTACCCAGTTTAATTTCAAGTTTGTGGCTACCAAGTCAGAGTTGAAATAATAATATAATGTGGTTGTTAACATATTTGAGTTTTGTTCAAACACTTGCTGATGGTGTTTAGTGACAGTATCATTTAGTCAATCACATCTTCCACTTCATATTTGAAAATCTGTCCTCCATTATTATGGATTAATGACATCAGGAAACAGAAAATGCATTTTTGTATGAGTATCTTAAAAAATAAAAACAGAATTTGCATATGAAAAATATCTGACTAGTGCTGCTATGACAAAACTCAGAATAAGTGCTCATGTCTTTCAAATTGAAAAGAGCAGATATAATAACATTAATGCTGAAGATGGATTCTGCCCTGCCTGTGACCAACAGAGTTAAGAATAAAAAACATTTCTTCCTCAAACCTATATAAGAAAGAAATTCTATATAATGAAATAACATGATTAAAAATATTAATTTCAGTAAAATCAACTCTGTGCTAAAAAAGTATGAGACAAGACAAATCCTAAAATGCCAGCTGCATGTCTCCACCAACCAACCAACCAACCAACACGTAATAAAACCAAATTTTAGCCAGTGGCTTAAGGGAATATGTAATGAACTGTTTCCAGTTCCGGCCAAATAACTGCCACAGGAAGTTTACTGTGTGAGTGGATTCATTCGCCAAGTGATGGAAATGTAATATGGGTATATTGGAACTGTTTCCAAAATTCTAGTTTTTATTAGTTTCTGTTTGTATGCAGTCTAAAAACAGGGACTAATGTATTAACCTCTGTGTGTCCGTGTGTGCATCCGGACCTATATCTTAGACATGCCTCTACCGATTACATTCAAACTTCACACATACATCATATGTAATATTATACATACTGGTATGCACATCAATTTGTTTCACAATCTGATTCAAGATGGCCGAATTGCAGCCATTTTGTGCTGAAAAATGATCAAAATCAAACATTTTCGGATCTCAGCTGTTTACAGATAAATTTTGTTCAAACTTGGTACATACATTGGACATTATGGGATCTTGATGCACATCATTTTATTTTTCAGATTCAAAATAGCCTAATGACATTCATTTTGTTTAATGAATTCAGTTCTGGTGCCATATCTCTGACATGCTTTGACTGATTGTGTTGAAATTTTATATATTCATTATACATCATGTAATAGATAAGATAAGATAAGATAATTCTATATTACAACCTTGTAGAATGAATTACATATCTATTTTGGTTCATGAAATGCAATAAAGGTGTTAAAATAAACATAACAAGTTAGATATCTAAAATCTACTACAATACAGTTACATGAAATAATGTAAAAAAAAAAAATATATTAATGACCCATTAGGTGGTTTTCTCTAATGGTATTTGCTGTAGATATATATATCTACGATTCAAAATTGCGGATCAGTTGCCATTTTGTTTTAATTAATACTGTTCCAGAGCAATATCTTTCAATATGGACAAGTACTGGTACTCGTTAGATGATTAGA